ATTTTTTTTTGTTCAGGTAGTTTAGGTTCTGGGATTTCATATGAATATAAATATATGTGTTTAGCATATATATATGCTGAGATATTAACGATTTTGTTAATTGAATAAAACTCTGACACAAAAATTTTTAAAATTATAATTCTTACCAAAAGATGATCTTTACAGGTATTATTGAGCTCTTTTTACTTTACTTAACAAGGTTTTATTTGCTATTTCTGTTTTAAATAGAATAAATTAATAAAATCAATTTTAAAAAGTAATTAACAAGTAGAATAAAATCAGTATAGTAAAAAACAAAAAAAAATATTTCAAAAACTCTAAAGCATAACTTACATTTTTATTTTGTATATTTTTACTAAAAAAAAGAAGGAACTAAAATTAAAAATAAATGAAAAAAGATTTTTCTTATTAATATAAATTATTAATATTTGTTTTCTTAATTACTGATTAAAAAAAACCTGCTATATATGCCTATAAACTTTTCTAAGTTACCTAATAAAATCTGATTGAAAAATGATTGAAAAGTAATTGAAAAAGAAAGTAGTTGCCATTGTTATTTTTAAATAAACATTAAAAATTTTTTTTTTATTTTTTGATAAATTTAGATTATCTGATTATGTAACACATATAATTTAAGCTTGTGAAACATAATTCTTGTTAAAATGTGCAAATCTTTATGAAAATCTTAATTTTGGCTAATTTCACAAATTGGCGAATATAAGCAGTATTAAGAAAAGTTCACAAGAATTTTCCTTGATACTGCTTAATTTTTAAACTAAAGCCTTAATACTACTAAATTAGTTAAATTAGAATTAAGTAGTATTAAGAAAAATTCGCAAAAATTTTCCTTAATACTGCTTAATTTTTAAATTAAAGTCTTAATATTAAATTAGTTAAATTAGAATTAAGCAGTATTAAGAAAAATTCGTGAGAATTTTCCTTGATACTGCTTAATTTTTAAATTAAAATCTTAATACTAATTTATAAAAATGATTTATAATTAAGTTTTGAATTTAGTATTATCAATCAGACTTTGAACTTAAAAATTAAACAGTATTAACAAAAATTCTTGCGAATTTTTAATAATTGTGATTTTACATCAGTGAGTTTTTGGATAGTATATATTAGTGGATACTAGTATTGTTTGATGCTTTAAAGTGTAGAAAAACTTACGTCAAATAAATAAAAATTGGCAAAAAAATCAGATAACCAATTTTTGGCTATATTTGTCTGATTTGTAGCTTTTTGTAGCTGATTTTTTAGTACGAATTGACAAAAATTGGATATGCCAATTTTTAAATTGCATATTCAAATTGGATTGCTGATTTTAGCTATATTTGTCTGATTTGTGACTTTTTACAGCTGTATTACCAATTCTTAACTACATTTTTCAGTTTTTTCACTATACAAAAAAATTGTATATACTGTACATTATGAAATATATATTTTTATAAAAAATTATATTGTAATATTGAATTAAATTTTAAAAAATATTTTATTAAGCAATATTAAATAAAAAAATAATCTTAAATAATTAAATTTTAAACAAAATACATTTAAGAATATAAATTTACTTGTAATTCAATGTAATACGCACAATTATAAAAAATTAATAATTCCACAAATATTAACTGTACCTTCATTAAAATAAATATTCAAGTAGATTCTAAGCTGCTGAACAATTTTCAAATTAATAAATGAAGTCAATTTGCTTTGGCTAAAGTGCTCAAAATATGCTCTGAAATGACAAAATAAAAAAAATAAAATTTGTAAATGAGTACCATTGCGAAAATTGTGAATAACTCATCAAGTATTAACTGTATCTTCGTAAAAATTAATATTCAAGTAGATTTTGACATGCTGAACAACTTTCAATTAATATAAGAAGTCGATTTGCTTTGGCTAAAGTGCTCAAAATACGCTCTGAAGTGATAAAATGAAAAAAAATAAAATTCGTGAATGAGTACCATTGTAAAAATCGTAAATAACTCATCAAGTATTAACTGTACTACCTTCATGAAAATTAATATTCAAGTAGATTTTGACATGCTAAACAACTTTCAATTAATATAAGAAGTTGGTTTATTTTGGATAAAGTGCTCAAAGTGTCAAAACACAAAAAAATAAAATTCGTGAATGAGTACTATTATGAAAATCGTGAATAACATATTATCTATTGACTGTACATCTGTAAAAATTAATATTCAAGTAGATTTTGACCTGCTGAATAACTTTCAATTAATATAAGAAGTCGATTTACTTTGGCTAAAGTGCTTAAAATATGCTCTGAAGTGACAAAATAGAAAAAATAAAATTCGTAAATGAGTACCATTATGAAAATCATGAATAACACATCAAGTATTAACTGTACCTTCGTAAAAATTAATATCCAAGTAGATTTTGACCTGCTGAACAACTTTCAATTAATAAAAGCAGTCGATTTACTTTGACTGAAGTGCTCAAAATACGCTCTGAAATGATAAAACAGAAAAAAATAAAATTTGTAAATGAGTACCATTGTGAAAATTGTGAATAACTCATTAAGTATTAATTGTACCTTCGTGAAAATTAATATCCAAGTAGATTTTAACCTGCCAAACAACTTACAATTAATATAAGAAGTTGATTTACTTTGGCTAAAGATCTCAAAATACGTTCTGAAGGTAAAAAAATTTGTAATTTAATACTACTGTATTATATAAAAAATGTAAATAATTCCAAAAAGAATTTTGCTAACTTTCTCTCTGGGAGATGTCACCTAGGTGACATCACCTGTACTAAAAAATAAAATTTATAACTTTTATAACTGGAAATTTTATTTTTAAAATGACATCATCAAATTTAATAACTCCAGCGAACCCAAACCTTATCCTAATTCTAACCCCTAACCATAATCCTAATCCTAACCCTAATCCTAACCCTAATCTTAATCCCCTAACCCAATCCCTAACCCTAACTCTAACCTTAACTAATCTACATGATTTAATTTTATGTAGGTGATGTTACTTGGGTTAAATCACATAGGGAGAAAACTAGTCTTATACTTTCAAAAATATTAACTGTACTTTTATGAAGGTTAATATCTTAACAGTTTTAAACTTACTGAACTACTTTTAATTAAAAGAATAAGATTTACTTTAACCAAAATGCTCAAACTATACTTTGAAATATGTGTAAAAAAAATATAATATTTATTTATATTTTAAATTATAAGTTATTTAATTTAAATGTGTTTATATTTAAGAAAAAATTTTAATTCTATTTTATAAAGTATTTAAAAAGTATTTTAGTAAAGTTTTTGAGGCAAAAAAATAATTATAACTAAAATAAAAAAAAAATCTAAGTTAATAAATAAATATTAAACTATAATACATAATCACATAAAACCCTGAACAATATATATAAAGGTAGGTTTTGAGTTTGCTTAACCAATATATAAAAATTTTTCCTATGTGAGATTTATTATTGCTTATTTAATAACATAATTTTTAAATAGTCAGATATAATTATGCGTAGCAAAGTACTAAATTATTAATAGTCAGATATATATTTGTGTAGCAGGATAGATTTTTTTAATATATATATATAATATAATATATATTTACATTTTTCACATTAAAAAAATTTAATAAAATATGTAAACAAAGTTATAAACATGTTTGTGTAAAAAAAATTTACTATTTTTAATACAAAGAATAAGTTAATTGTATACGTAATACAGGAAACATTTTTAGACGTGATTGTGTAATGTGTTTTTGATAAAACAAATACACATCCGCATAACATTAAAATTATAAATCATATACGTGTCTGTATAACAGTTAAAAAATATATATTGAAAATGAGAGTAACGGATGGATGGGAAGGGAAAAATAAGTGTTTTTCTGTTTTTTTATAATTTTACACTATAATTTTTATAATAATCAACAAAAGTTATTTCATTTTTACTTAGAAAATTTTTTAAAAATATTTTTTTTGACAAATTTTACAGTAAATTTTAAAAATAAAAATTACACGTATTGGTGGCGTTACATAAAATATGAATAAATCCATAAATATCTATTCAATCATAATAAAAATTTATATATAAATAGATTCGAACCTGCTGAATAACTTTACTTAAAAAGGTTTTGAATGATTCCTTTAACTAAAGTACCTAAATTACGCTCTGAAGTCACAGAACAGATATACGAAAATATTAATAAGAAACATTTATAAGTTGTAATATTACAAAAAAATAATAATAGCTTTATTTATATATTAATTTTTGTTTTTTAGTTTTTTTTATATACATATTTTATAAAAAAAATTATATATAAATATATATATATAATAAAATAAATTGCTTAGCAGTGTAAAAAATTTATGGGTTAGATAAAAGTTTGCTTAGCAGACATGAAAAATATTTGCTTATTGACCTTAGTAAATTTTGAATTTTTTATCTGACCTATATATATATTGTTCAGGGTCCTAATCACATGTTATATATTAAAATCAGAAATTTTATATTAAAATCAAAAAATCCTATTACAAATAGCCAAAAATCGGCAATTTCATGTTAAAAATCAGAAATATTATATTAAAATCAAAAATATTTATTAAAATCAGAAATATTATATTAAAATTGCTAAAAAATCAGACAACTATATTAAAAAAAGCAAAAATCTGATTTTTATTTATTTGACCTGTATATATTTGTAGAAAATACGTTATAAACATATAAATTTTAATATACTGTAAAATAATACATATTCATTTACAATATTTTTGTAAACTGTATACAAAATACTGATATACAGTAGAAATGGTATATGTTATAGACGTATGAATTTAATATACCATATCATACAGTATGTTTACCGTATATTTTATTGTATTTTTTACTAAACACATTTTGCGAACGGTATACATAATACATTATACTTATGATATGCCGTATATAAAAATGCGAACTGTATCAAAAATACATATATACAGTATAAAAACCGTATACATATTTTTTATAGGGCAGTTATAGTGCATAGCATGTTTACATGACAAAAAGACATATTTTTCGTAAATTTTATAGAAATCTCTTCAAAGCATTTCTCACATATAAGGTGTTGGATTTGTCTGCTAGAAAGTTCTGAGTCATCCATATTTTCAGAATTGTCAGAATTGGTTGCTTGATTAGAAATTTTTTTAGTGACCCCAGTAGTCTTGAATGATCTTTGCTTTTTACCTGATAATAATACATTTGTCTTGAAAGTTTCAGGCTCATTGATTTTGAATTTATCTGGAAGCCTAGAAAGTCTATCCTTTGACAAGGTGTGAGCCAAGATTTCTTTTCGTTTATTGTAAAATCATGTATTTGTAGCTGATTGATTAGTCACTTTGCTTTTTCTAATGCTTCTTCTTTGAATTCTACTATGATTAGAAGATCGTTAAGGTAAGCTACTACCTGTATCCCTCTTGCTCTCGCCATCTTTATAATCGGTTTCAGAATCTTCGTAAAGATTCGAGAACTTGTCATTAAGCCAAAAGGTAGACATGTAAAATAGTATTGTTTCTCTTAAAAATTGAAAGTAAAATATGGATATTGTGATTCTGCCAGAGGTATATGGTAAAACGCCTGATTTAAATCTAACGTAACTATGTAGTTATTTTGTCTTACTAATAACTTGATTAAATCTAAATTCTTCATTTTGAAGTGTTGATAGGTAACATATTGGTTGAGATTGTGAAGATCGATAACAGGTCTGAGCTTTCCCATTTTTTTCGAAACTATAAAAATATTTGAAATAAAACAAGGTGTCTGTGGGTCTAGTTCTCAGATCGCACCTGAATCTAGAAGTTTCTGTATTTCTTGAGAAAATTCTGTTAGATTCAAATTGTTGTGATCTTTGTAGGATAACGGAACAATATCTAATGGCAGTGGATGTAGCCATTCTGGAAAGTATCCTTGTGATACCAAGCTTGTCTTTCAGGATAATCCAAAGTCTAGTTCCTATTAATGTCTGAATTGTGTCAGTCTTCCAGCAATCTTTGTAGGGAAAGTGATATGATTTAACTCTGGCGGAGTGACTGTCCACCTTGATTGAAGTTTTCCAACTTCTGTGATTTTCCTCTTTAGGAATTATTATTGTTCTTATACTTTCTGTTATAACTTGACTGTTTCTGTGAAGTTTTGTAGTTAATATTGAATGATGATTAATTCTGCTTATTTTGATAAGATCTTTTCTTCTGAAAAGCGGCATCATTAAGGAGTCTGTTTGATTCATTTTCAGCTTTAATTGTTTGGTAAAGTTCCTCTCTAAATACTTTGACTTTATCGGAAGGTTTGTGGTAATTCAGGAAAATAGTCACCTTGATTGCTTGCTCTTGGCGTAAATTATTGATGAATGAAAGGCATCTAAAGCCAATGACCGTGTATTGAGTAGAGATGCGATCTGAAATCTGAAAATTCGGATCATCCGCCAATCCATCCGATCCGAACAGATAATGGATGCATCTGGATGGATTAAGGATATCCGTTTTAATTCGAAACAGCATCCAATGATCGTACAGAGATGCACAATAGCTCATTCGAATCGTCGTAATGAGACGATTTGAATGAGCTATTGTGCATCTCTGTACGATCACTGGATGCCGAGATATTCGGCAAAATGTCAAACATTAGCAATTTCATTTTACGATTATGCAAAATTTTACGTTTTGCCGAATATCTCGGCATCCAGTGATCGTACAGAGATGTACTATAGCTCATTCAAACCGTCTCAATGCAACGAATCGAATGAGCTATAGTGCATCCCTGTACGATCGTTGGATGCCGAGATATTCAGCAAAACGTCAAAAATCGGCATTTTTTATTTACGATACTACTGATTTTTGGCGGTTTGCCGAATATCTCGGCATCCAACGATCGTACAGGGATGCACAATAGCTCATTCGAATTGTTGCATTGAGACGATTCGAATGAGCTTTTGTGCATCTCTGTACGATCACTAGATGCCGAGATATTCGGCAAAACGTAAAATTTTGCATGATCGTAAATAAAAATGCTGATGTTTCACATTTTGCCAATTATCTCGGCATCCAGTGATCGTACAGAGATGTACTATAGCTCATTCGAATTGTCTCAATGCAACGATTCGAACGAGCTATAGTGCATCTCTATATAATCATTGGATGCCGAGATACCCAAAAATTTGAAGTTAATCCGGATTATCCAGATTTAATCCTATGATAATCCGGATTGATCCGTGCAGATCACGGATTGTAAAATTTCATCCGGATTGCATCTCTAGTATTGAGGACAGTCTGTTCCAATTGTACCCATGCCTGAAACTGCTCAGAGGTAGTATCTTCAAGTTTTGAAGCATAAACGAGCTGTAAAATATTATCTGTCAGTCTAATAACTGATAAAAATCAGTAAACAGCACGTCTAAGATTGGTATTTTGGTCCTTTGCATTACAAGGCATAGAGGTTCATAATTTTTTATCCATAATAGGCAGGTCAAATGATATTTCTTTATTTTTAGGTTCTGTTTGAAGAATAGTTTTGCGAACTGTTGGAGTAAGTAAATTCCCTTTGTATATTTTTGTGGGTAACTGTTGCATTTCACTGGGGGCAATCCAAGTGTTTGAGTCGAAGTCTTCCAAGGTATCTTCTTGAACATTATCGACATTATGGTTACCGGTTTCATTATTATTTAAGTTGTTCTGATTATTAGACATGTTAGAGTCGTTTGAATCTCAGGTGCAGACCGCTACAAGAAAGAAATGGCCTAAAGCAGTGATGTTCTTGGAAACTTCTAATAACATTTTGTTGGAATTGAAAGTTCCATTGGAAAAAATTGGAATTATCGGAAGATGCCGATCTTCTAATATTTCATGTGCACTGGAAGCTTTCAATCAAAATCAATTGGAAATTGAACATAGTTATTAGATCTTCCAATGGAAGCTTCCAATTTGTTTATTACTAAAATTGGCAATCATATTTGTGATTTTGTGATTAAAATATTTGTAGTTAAACCATGAGACGTTGATAACTGATTTATATTTTCGCGTCTTTAAAAAATGAAAAGACCTAGAACTTATCGCCTTACTAAATATATAAAAATTCTTGGAAAATAAAATTCATGCACACTAGTCGAAATAGTCCAATTTGGCCAGGTTTCGTATAGGCAAATTTGGCCCGAATTATGGCTGAAATCCAGTCGAAGTTGAACAAATCTTTTAACTGAAAGTTTTTATCGAGTGTTACCACTCAGACTGCCACTCGTCTAAATTTCGGTTAAGTTTCGCATAAGTTTCAGATAGCATTTTTATACTGAACATTAATTCATAAAATTGTATTTTATTTAGGATTAATTTTACATTCACCTCCGGTGAATTTCACCAGGATGAATTTTGCTATGATTTGCATTATGCATAAATTTAATAAATTTTATGGTAAAATTCACCGTAGGTGAATTTCACCTTGATTTTCATAATTTTTTAAAATGTTTTCCCCTGAATATACCAAGACGCCACTTTTCTCATTTTGTTATTTTTTTAAAGAAAATCCTTCTTTCTTAATAATAAATAACTTTGAATAGTTAGTTTCTTTAATAATAATATGGAATTTAATGCTTTTTGTTCTGATTATCATAATAATAATTATGAGACAAGTGCTTTTATTTCAACATATTCTGAACCTTTTAATGATAATTTTACCAATATAAACCTTTCACTATATTCCGAACCTTTTAATATAAACTTTTTGCCATCATCTTTGGAACTTTCTGAGCCACAATATGTATCACCTGTATTACCATTTGTATCACCTGTTGAACCACTTTTAACTTCAGATGATAATTTTACAGATATAGAAACTTCGTTACCTTTAGAACCATCTTTTGGTAATAGTAATTATCAATATAATTTGGCTGTAGGAGATTCTTTTGATGATTGGTTATTAGTTGATACATTTATGCATCAATATTGCTTAGAACGTGGTTTTGGATATCAAATTTTCAGTAATGATAAAGATCCTAATGATTCAACTATTATCAGACGTAAATCATTTCGTTGTTCATCAAGTGGTAATTATGAACCTAGAAAATTAATGGATCAAAAATTACATCGGTTACATGGTACGATTAAAACCAATTGTGAATGGCATGTTAACTTTACATTTCCTAAATCTGCACATCAAATAGGGTGCACAACATTAAAAGATGTGCATAATCATGAGGTAAATCCTGCACAAATATCTCATATTATTGCTAGATATAGACGTCTTGATAGTGAAATGATTCAAGATTTAAAGTTTTTTTCAGATTGTAAGGTTGCGCCAATTACACAATTAGAGATACTTAAAAAAAAGTATCCAGAACATGTATTTCACAAGCAAGACGTTTATAATGCAATTTATAAATTGCGTCAAAGTAATAGAGATGAAAAACTGGACTCAGTTTTATTTCTTAATGTACTTTTAGAAAAAATGAATCAAGACCCACGTTAGAAGATTTATATTAAACATTCTGGTAATGAATGTCGTTTATCAGGCATCTTTTGGATGTCTCCCTCTCAACAAGAATTATATCAACGATTTTCTGATGTAGTATTAAACGATAATACTTGTAAGACCAATAAATACAATATGTATTTGAGTGTGTTAATAGTAAAAGACAACTATGAACGATTTCGAAATATAGCAAATGCACTAGTGGAAGACAAAATGGCATCTACATACACATGGATTTTGCAATGTTTAATGAAAGCTACTGATAATATTGCGCCAAAAGCATTTTGGACAGATTCAGAGCCAGGATTAATTAATGCAGCTTCTCAAATTTTTCCTACAACGCCACATTTTTATTGTTTATTTCATATTTGGCAAAATATAATTAAGAATCTTAAATCAAAATTAGGATTAAGATTTCATGCTTTCAGTAAGGCTTTTTATTCATGTAGAAACGTACTAAGCATAGAATTATTTGAGCAACGTTGGGCATTTATGATAAATGAATTTCCAGAGTGTGAACGCTATATGACTAGGGCATTATATGGTAATAGAATCAGTTGGGCTAAAGCTTATATGCCATTCCAGTTTAATGGTGGTATACAAAGTACCCAAAGTGTAGAATCATTTAATGGTATTATTAAAAGGTCTTTAAATTCAGCAAGTACTCTTTGTGATATTGCAGAAACAATTGATAAAAGACATCAGGAGGAGTTTAAGTACTGTCAATTAACAGATATTAAGGCGAAATATACACCAATTGGATTACCACATCTTTCATCTCAATTTTTTTCAAGTGTTGATGCAATTATTGTGAAATTTTTATCACCTTTTATATTATCTTTACAACGATATCAAATTTCACAATCTTTTACATATGAAAAACAGTTAACATCATACTTATTTGAGGTATGTTAATAACACGTTGAATTAGTTTGTTAATAAGTTGAGATAGAGTTTAACATAAATTTTTGTTATAGAATTTACAAGCTGAAACCATTGATGATAATTTCATAGAAGAAGTGGTAGATGAACCACAAATAACATTGAAGGCTATACTTGATGGTATAGATACGTCAAATATTATTGAAGTATGGAGAATTATTAGAATAGGAGGTATTTCTAGTAAAGAAAATCTGGCGGCTCTTTTTAGTGATGGGACTCATATTTGTACGTGTATAGAATCTATTACAAAAGGAATTATTTGCCATCACTTTTGGCGAGTAATGCTTTATTCAAGTACTGCAAGATTCCATATTAGTATTATACCTATCAGATGGTATAAAGA